TTCACCTCAACAATAGACTGGACTGGTCAGATAACATAAGTGCACTTTACAGGAAAGGCCAGAGCAGACTCTAACTGCTTAGGAGACTGAGGTCATTTGGAGTGCAGGGGGCATTTCTGATGACCTTTTTTGACACCGTGGTGTCCGCTATTTATTATGGAGATTACAGCTCCCACCCCATGCATGAGACTCTGGCAGCACTGGGCAGCTCCTTCAGTGACAGGCTGATTTACCCCAAGCGTGTAAGGGAGTGCTATCGTAGGTCCTTCCTTCCTGCTGCTGTTAGACTGTACAACCAGCAGAGACTGTGCTCCCAGTAGAGAACCCTCCTCCACCCCATTAGACCTCACACATCTACAGCACATAAACTGTGAACTCATCACAATTTCCTGTGTGTAATATAAGCCATACTCCATGTGGAACACTTGCAAAATATCTCTATAGTGTAAAGATTTCTTGCTTTTCTATTTATGATGTCTGTTATTAATTCCTCAACATTCCCATGTATAACATAAATCAATATTTCATGTGCAATTTGGGTAAAATATCCTTACAGTGTAAATATTTTTTGCTTATAATTGTTTATATTGTACATTTTTTGTGAAGGATAGAGTTTATATTTTTTATCAGATTTTATTACCTTTAGTATTATATACAGTGAATATAAAAAGTGTACTCACCCCAAGATGAATTATTTCAGATTTATTTCCACCTTCAATGTGACATAATATGTACAATAGCATGAAAAAACAAACTGAAATATTTTAGAGTGGAAAAATAAAAAAAAAACTAAAATAATGTGGTTGCATTAATATGCACACCCTTAATCTAATACTTTGTTGAAGTACCCTTTGACTTTATCATAGCATTCAGTCTTTTTGGGGAAGAGTCTGTCAGCATGGCACATATTGACTTGGCAGTCTTTGCCCACTCTTCCTTGCAAATGCGCTCCAAATCAGTCAGATTGCGAGAGCATCTCCTGTGTACAGCCCTCTTCAAGTCTACCCACAGATTTTCAATGGGATTCAGGTGTGGGCTCTGGCTGGGCCATTCCAAAACTTTGATCTTCTTCTGGTGAAGCAATTTTTTTGTTGATTTTGGAGGTATGCTTTGGGTTATTGTTGTGCTGAAAGGTGAAATTCCTCTTCCTCTTCAGTTTTTTAGCAGAGGCCTGAAGGTTTTGTGCTAAAATTGACTGATATTTGGAACTGTTCATAATTCCCTCCACCTTGACAGTTGCAGAAAAACAGCCCCAAAGCATAATGCAGCCTCCACCATGCTTCACTGTGGGTATGGTGTTCTTTTGGTGATGCGCAGTGTTGGCTTTGCGCCAAACATACCTTTTGGAATTATGGCCAAAAAGTTCAACCTTGGTCTCAACAGACCAGATTTCCGCTTGTCTTTCAATGGAATTGTACAGATTATGGGTCACATTGAAGGTTTAAATAAATCTGACATGATTCATCTTGGTCTGATTTTTTTACATGACAAAACCCTGGCATTTTAACAGGGGTGTGTAGACTTTTTATATCCACTGTATATTGTTTGTACAGTAACAAGTTACAAACTGTAACCTTGTTAAGTGATTAACAAGGTTAATTACTTGCTTGTTAATTCTCTTCTAGTTACTTATTTTCCTAAGTGCCTTGCTATCTTATTTTATCAATCGTACTTTAGTCTCAGCTGTAAAGAAGTAGGGCGGCACGGTGGCGCTATCGCCTCACAACAAGAATGGCCTGGGTTTGATTCCCGGCCGGACGACCAGAGTAATTTCTGTGTGGAATTTGCATATTCTCCCCCTGTCTGCGTGGGTTTCCTCCCACAGTCCAAAAACATGCAGTCAGGCCAATTGGACATGCTAAATTGCCCCTAGGTGTGAGTGTGTGTGTGAATGTGTATGTCTGTCTGTCTGCCCTGCGATGGACTGGCGACCTGTCCAGGGTGTATCCTGCCTTCTGCCCAATGACAGCTGGGATAGGCTCCAGCACCCCACCATGACCCAGAGGGATAAGCGGTTTAGATGATGTGTGTGTGTGTAAAGAAGTGATTTTCTGATGTAGAACAAAACACACTCTTCAAAACAAACCCTTCTCCACTGTATCAATGCTCGATCCAAGGTAACTAATGTACCAAATCTAGCTAATGCACTTAATTTAAAATCAGCTAGAGTTTAATGATTTAACTGTTAAGGTACACTATAGTCATTTACACTAACACCTACTCAATTCTGCGTAGATTACTCATTATTGTAGCCTTATAGGCATAAGCGCCTGAGGAGTCGAACAAGTGGAGCATATGCATCCCCAGTTTTATTGGAGGGGGGGGCAAAGGTATATGTTTGCTCCCCCTCCAATAAAACTGGGGACTTATTATGTGTATGAAAATGTGACTCGTGTGGGAACATGAAATTACAATGTTATTTTGATCCTGTAATTTAATGAACCTACTGAAAAACAAACCTCTCATCTGTAATGGAGATCAGTGAAAATGTTTTGCCATGATATTTATTCAAACTGAAACAAGGCACGCTACAATGCAGAAGCATAGATTAATGTGGAAGTCTATTCTTGCCAAGTAGGGAAGAACAAAATAGCCTCTTGTTCCCTTCTCTGTTAATGATAGTAATATGGTGAAAGTTTTAAGATGACTGGTTATATCAAAATAATAGCTTGTTATCTCAAAGTTATGACTAAGTGTGCATTCACATGGAAGTGTATTACCCAAAAAACCACCCAGATCTGAACCTTGAGGAACCCACTTATGACAAGCTTTGCAAAGTGGTGAAGGGGCGGAGCAGATCGTTATTAGCGGGAACAGCAAACATCACTAACTAGATAGACTAAAGGACCAGGCACTTCTTGCGCTTCTTTCTGGAGAAGAAAAACAAGGAGAAAATGTCCACCAGGTTTAATAACCTCAAATTGTGAGGGCCTTGTGTAGTGTGAATTCAAAGTGAATGTGCTTTGGGGACATGTCAAAAAGAAGAAGGAAATATTTTGCATTGGACTGGGGTGGGATGTCACCCCAGTCCAATTTATTTGGAAATAGATTACTATTTAATGTTTGTACAGTTTCGAGGCTAGTGTTTGTTTATATGTGTGAGTCTAGCTTTTTTAAACCTGCCAATCAGATATGAAGTTATTTGCACAACTTTGAGCATGATGAGTGACATTTAGTGTCACGTTATGGGTGTGAGAGGAAAAAAGATCAGGAAAATTAGAGAAGTAGATGACAATGCAGTGACATTGCTGTAAGAATGCCACACATTCACACAGTTGTGTTTTGTGTAAACACTGAACAATGCAATAAATTATTTTACTACCAACGTGTGCCACAGTGGCATTCAACAGTTTGGGCACCCCTGGTCAAAATTTCTGTTACTGTGAATAATTAAGTGAGTGGAAGATGAACTGATTTTAGGCAAAATTAGTGTATCATTTTTGTTTTGTACAATTTAGAGTGAAAAAAGTAGTACCATGCAAAAGTCTGGGAACCCCGAAAGATTTTTGCTGTCACATAACTTTTACCAAAGTCTCAGACCTTAATTAGCTTGTTTGGGCCATGGCCTGTGAACAAGCATTATTAGGAAAGGCCAGGTGATGCCAATGTCAAAACCTCACATATATTCTGACTCCTTAAACTTTGCCCCAACAATCAGCAGCCATGGGCTCATCTAAGCAGCTACTTAGCACTCTGAAAATTTCAATAATTGATGCCCACAAAGCATGAGAACACTATAAGAGGATAGTAAAGCATTTTCAGGTAGCCATTTCCTAAGTTTGTAATATAATTAAGCAATGGCAGTTAACAGGAGCGGAAGACGTCAAGCTGAGGTTGGGAAGACCAAAAAACCTTTGAGAGAACTGCTCAAAAGATTGCTAGAAATGCAAATCAAAACCCCTGAACTTTTTGGTCACAATAAACATAAGTAAGTTTGGAGAAAAAGGGACCATCATTTTATGAAATTTCACTTCTCAACTGTTAAGCAAGGGGGCAGCCAGTGGCACAGGGAACATTTTATTGATATAGGGAAGAATGGATTCAATTAAATACCAGCAAATTCTGAAAGCAAACATCACACAGTCTGTAAAAAAAGCTGCATAACAGCTTCTACAATAGGATAATGATCCCAAACACACCTCAAAATCCACAACTGACTACCTTTTTTAAACTAATCATCATTGAAAATCTGTAGATAGACCTCAAAAAAGCAGTGCATGCAAGACAGAGAATCTCACAGAATTGGGAGGCTTTTGCAAGGAAGAATGGGCAAAAATCCCCCAAACAAGAACCAAAAGACTTTTAGCTGGCTTCAAAAAGCATTTACAAGCTGTGATATTCACTAAGTACTGACGATGCACGGTGCCCAAACTCTTGCTTGTGCCCTTTTCCTGTTTTTAAAAAAGACAAAGATAACAAAGAAATTTGTCATCTTTAACTTTATGGCTTTTGGAAATCAGATCATCCTTCACTCGCTTACTTATTCACAGTGACAGAAATTTTGACCAAGGGTGCCCAAACTGTTGAATCCCACTGTGGTACACTCGAAGTAAACTAATTTGTTGCTTTGTTCGGTATTTACATAAAACTGATATGTAACATTCTTACTGCAAGGTTATTTCAATGTCATATGCTTCTCTGATTTTTCTTATCTTTCTCCTACACCCATAAGTTGACACAATGTCACTCAGCATGCTCCAAGTTGTGTAAATAACTTCATATCAGATTGGCACGTTTAAAAAAGCTAGACTCATTTCTTCTGATGAAAGCCCTCCTTCCTTATTCCAAAAATGCAACCTAGTGTGACAAATATATACAGTTTCTTGACAACGGCCAAATTTCCCTTCATTCCCCACGAACACACACACACAGTGCAGATTAACCTTGAAACTGTAAGAACATTGAATAATAATCTAAAAAAAAAAACCTGCACCACTGGTATTGTGACATTCCAGCCCAGTCCAGTGCTGTGTATTTCCTTCTTCCCTGTGCCATGCCCCCAAAGCACATTCACTATAAATTCACACTCTATAAAGCCCTCACAGTTTAAAGTTTTCTTAAGGACTTCAGCATCTAGAAGTGCAGGTATGTAGCTTTCATGAAACTAATTTATGCCAGCAGCGGTGAATTAAGTATAGCACTCATATAATTAAAAATGACTTATGTTAATTACTGAAAATATTCAGTTTCAGCTAAAAAAACTGCAAACTCAGCTTAGAAGTATATTGCACTTTGTTGCCTTGAAATAGAATAACTTTGCTATTTTACCTTTCATACTTAAAATGCAGGTTAAAGTGCTTCCCAACACATGTAAATAAAACAGCAGAACAAAATAAATTAAACAGAGTATGGCAAAAAAGAACATTAAAGAACATGTCTTCACATAAAGTAAAAATTCACAACAAACAACTGAAAAAACAATATGTAAATAATATTATATGTAGCAGCATGAAAAAAAAGGGGAGCAAGAAGAAACTAAGAAAATACTAAGTTACATAAATATGTTTTCCATATTAATGTTGTGAATATAGTAGGTAGGTAGCAGGTGGCTGATGAAGAATGATGATGATGAACGCTGCCATACTAATGTTTGAAATGTTTAACAATAAAAAATAGCCTGAGTATGTTTCCTGATATTGTACATAAAGATTGTACATTCTTTGTTCTGAAATAAAAGTGGTCTGAAGTTACTTATGCTTCAAACCTTTAAAGCAGCAGAGAAGTACCTGGGGTTGCATATTAAATCACATAAATGATCTCCAATCCAGTTTAACAATAACCTTTCAACAGGTAACAAACCTTTTATCAAAGCATTTTTTATTCTTTTATTTTAGACTTACATCTGCATTGAATCAAATGTCAAGTGGCGTTAATTACAATAATAACAATACAGTACAATAACAAATCAAATAATTCGTTGGATCACAGAGGCTCCCAAAAGAACAGTATTTTTTTATGTAAGCCAAGTTTGTCACATGTATCTGTAAATATCTCTAGGCAGAAGGAATGAGAGAGAGTTATGAAACAGAAGGGAAACGGCATGGGCTAATGTTTTTAGGGTGTTGCATAACCCCCTATCCATCTGCAAATATGCCACAGGGCTTTCTGACACCCACTGTAAGACACTTGATGGGTTCAAGCCCTCACCCCTTCTGTCCTTTCTGTCCACATGGGACTCTGGGGACTTTCATGAACATAACGTAGGACTGCCCAAAAGTTTATGCTTTTGGGAGGAGGTTGTTGATTATCTCTTCTCTGACTAAGACATACTTCCCCACGGGCTATAAACTTGATTTGACTTAATGATAACTCTAAATTCCCCATTACGGAAAAATCCCAGAAAATATGGCTGGCTGGCTAAACTGCAGCAAAAAAGTTAGCATCCAACATTGGCTATCCTCTATAGGTTTTTTTTTTTTTCCTCTTTAAATGGGGAATAAAAAAATGAATCACAAAAAAGGTTGTGTTACCTCAGGAAAGGCCTGATATCAGTATCAACAGGACTCGTTCTTGATCTTTTGAAGCAATAGCCAGGGGTGTAAAAATACCATATAAAATGTAACAAGTAGCTGAAAAGTTGTAAATTGTAAATCTATGGAGTAGTTTATTTAAAGAGAAGCTGCTCAGCTTGAATCAAGCCAGATTTCAGTCATAATGAAAAAACGTAATTTTTGCTAACATTTCAGATCATTTACTATAAGACTTACTAGTCAATGTTCCTTAGAATTTCTTCTCACAATTAGTCTCTGGACTTAACGAGTTTGGCAGTGTTGTACCTTTTGAATTTATTGGTAGATTTTACATTATGACAGGTAAAAGAGGAATGGGCCACGTCATTGTCATTACACCAGTCCCTCAACCAACAATTTACTGCCAAAAGTCTGCTCTGCTTGAAAGTTTCACTTGTCCTGTAAAAGTACCTGATATGATGATTTTTGTTTTCTGGTTTTTAACGGTCCAGCAGTGTGGGGAAGTGTTCCTGAACTCAACTTGCATAATTTGAGTAAGTATGTCACTATATGAACACAAAATGCAACTTTCTTGTGTTGTAAAACTGCTACACAGTTGCAATGATTAAACAGTAACTGAAAAAAGAACTGTTTTTACAATATTATAATTTCTCACATTTACTCTTTTCACCTCATTTTTTTCAGGGATGGACAAGAGCAGAACTTGTCAGAGGTATTTTTTTGCCATTTTTAAAATTATTTTTTCAGCTAGAGAATTTTAGAGGTTGTAATTACATACAATGTAGAGGTTTCGTTACATACACGTAAATATTAGAGTGCCATGCCTCATAAATATTAATCAGTCTCATTAATTAATCAGTCCCTTAATTCATCAGTCTTATATATAATCAAATCCTGAATATCACAATCTCTAATTTGTAACTAAAGAAAGTAAAACTAGTGATTTGATTTCTGAAGTTTTAATAAATGTGATTTCTTTTATAAAGATCTTTATCAATGTATAGCAACCAATATTTGGAAGATATCAAGACAGACAACTTGGTGAAGGAAAATAAAACATTTATTAGCACACAATCTATGCTAAGACACAAACGTTATACAATACAAACGATCAATAGTATATTTACAGTGCATATAAGCTAAGTGCACATGAGCAAGAGAAAGCTAGAGAGTGCCTGTTTGCGTATGAGCAAGAGAGATAGAGAGTGCCTGTGTGCACATGAGCGAGAGAGCTACAGTGCCTATGTGCGCATGAGCACGAGAGAGAGAGTGCAACTCTGTCTGCATGAGTAAGAGAGAGCTGGAGGGGGTGTACATTTGAGCATGGGATTATGTAAGAGAAGTATTACTAACTCTGTTCTCTAAACAGAGATAAAAATAGTGCCGTTTTCAAATAGTAATATGTGGCATTCGCAGGGGGTACGCAAGCAGCTTCACTGTTCAGTAATGGGAACAGCTGACCCTTTGTTCTAGTCTGTGTTAGATCAAAGCCAGTGTCTCACTTTAAACACATGCAGTGCACCGAGAATTAACCCAGCTTAAAAACAAATGTGCAGCTTTATAAAGCTGGAATAATGCTGAGATATTGTTGATCTTTCTCCGTACAGGAGAGATTTCATGCATCAACAAGAGATCGAATTCACTGTGTGCATAAATTTCTAAGTTTAGATGATCTTAACAAAGGTGGTTAAAACCAAAGCATCAATACCTACAAGATGCCTTAAAGTTAACAGACTTTGAGGGTTCCTTAACTATGCTATGCCTAAATGTTAGGGGTTCAGACTCAAGTAATGGATATCGAAAGTTTGTCATCCTCACAAAATTCCTGTTTGGAATGTGGAAGGGATTTTCACCGTCCCCTGACGGGTGAAAGTCGACATCATTTAGGTTACTGGGAATAAGTTTAATCCTCTGGAAATTGATACAAGAAAAGGGTTATGTCCACCATTTCAAGAACTTGATCACTATAACAAGGCCGCTGACTGCCTTTCACAAGCTTGATGGTGGTCAGCTGCTCAGGATGCAGTCACTAGTAACTGTAGTAGTAAGATTGACCTACTGGAAGTTCCTTTGTTCTCTGTTGCACTGTCCATGTGGTGCTGGAAATCCAAAAAGGCCAAATGGAGGAGGGGTTCTCTGCTAGAAGTCTAACCCTTTTTATAAGGGAAAGGTCAGAGAGAAAGAAGTTGTAGGAACCTTCTTTCGACCTTTTCCCTCATAAAAAGTGTTGGGAGTGGTCTTTTAACACCTGGGTATGTTTGCTACTAGACACACCCCCTTTCCTTCTTTGAGGGGAACTTGCTTTGAGCATTTCCAGTGGTACTGACACCTACTGGTTGGCAACTGGTTCCTACAACATTTAATTCTTTTCACTTTTTATTGTGCTGAAGTATTTGAAATGTATTTGTGCATACGACGACATTTACAATGACCATAGCTAGGTTGAACTCTTTTCAGTTCAGAAAAGAAGTTCACTTCTTCTCAGTCAAGATAGTCAGTTATTCTACAGGTGTAGAAAACTGAGAATGAAAGGCTTGAATCTCATTACATGCAGGTATTCTAAATTAATTAAAGGTATTACCTGTTTATTACTGTTATAACACACTTCTAGTACTAAAACCACTCCTGTGTAATGTGTGTAGCTGCGAGGTGAGAATTGGTCACTCTCTGAGTGAAGTGGAGAGGCAGCATTTGGCCAGAAGGACAGAGACTGTTCTACAGTGCCTGAAGCAGCACGGCATAACCTGCAGTGAGGTAAATAATATCTTTTAATATGTAAGCTTTAGGGCCAGTTTTACTAAGTAGCGTGCAAAAGCTTCAGCATGTACTAAAATTTAGTGAGTGCAGCTGGCTCTAGTTTGTGTTTGAGTTAGTGTAACTTGCTATTTAAAAGATTTTACCCTCAAATTGGCTAATGTGAAATGGAGAGATGCTAATATACAGAGGCACTTAGAGCACAATTCAAATGGATGTTGACAGAAGAAAAGAGAGAAAGAAGGAATTCTCTCTAAAAGAGGGGGAAGTTTTGATGATGGAGATCCCGGCTGCTAACAGATAAGCACTTCCATTAAAATTTGTAGTTCCTATAATTCTCACTTACAACTTTAGAGTGGCAGCACTTTTCAGAGTAGTTGTGTGTCCTTCACCCTGCAGTTCACATTAGTAAATTGCTCTAAGATGTTAATTTTCATAATCTTGTCCCTTAAAATGTATATCCATTGAGTCAGGTGTGCTAAAACCTGCAGCTCAGTGGCGACCTCATTGGCAGATGAGGCTTTGGTGCTTTTGTCTGTGCAAAATTCATTAGGGACATCGCAAACATTTAGTAAAACTGGGCTTTACCTAGAAAACTATACTACAATACACTGTACTACAGTATACACTGTATTTTAGTGTAATGCTATCATTATTGTCATAGATAATTTCTTATTTGAGTATTTAAGATTACACAATACCAGATGCATCATGAACAACTGCTTTATTGTTTGTATCTAACAACACATTTCATCGTACATCAAGTTTCAGTGATGCAATAGAAATACAACTGTTTTTTTTTTTCAAGTGTTTATGATTTGTGTTTCAATGATGGCAGGATGACATGCCCAACATCGCCGTTCTGGGCTCTGGTGGAGGTTTGAGAGCTATGGTTGGACTGCTGGGGTCACTGAGTCAGCTGAAAGAAGAGAGACTGCTGGACTGCATCATGTACCTGTGTGGAGTTTCAGGATCTACCTGGTACTGATACAGAACATATCAGATATTTCATTTACTTATTTAGGTCCAGACATTTAGACTAAACACATTTATATTCATAAGCAGAAATATCTAGGCTTTATGATGTGGCATATGTGCTTTATGGTGCAGGGATGATAGAAGGTAATAACAATAAAAAGGCTGGAAAGTACAAACCCAGGATGTACATTCTGAACAATTTTGATATTCAAGTATCTAGAAAAAAAAAACACATGTTAAAATCTGTTAAAAACATGCTCCTTCAGAAGAGCTGATGAGCTAACACTAATACTAGAGCTAACCAGAGCTGTGGTGACGAGAATCAGTGCTTACCATATTTAAAGAATCGACTAAAAGTACAACATAAACCATTTTGCATTTAATCATGAGATCTGATTTCCCTCAAAATACTTTGCATTTGGCCAGAGCGAGCATCAAACTCCCGTGTCTCTTTTTCTTTTGTCCAGGGGATAGCGAAGTTACAAACTTATGAACACTTGGCATTTGGTTCATACTGATTGGCTGCTTAAGAATAGTCAAGTATCCTGTTGTTCTTTGTCATAAGCTGGAATGAGGCAAATGTTGCCTCTAAAGCATCATTTAAGGTGGACTCAAAAGTTTGAAAAAGCATGGAAGTTGTAACCTGCATGGGAGTTTTAATGTAGTTTACTAGTATTATATAAATCTTTAAGAAGATGGCTCATCCATTATTCATAGGTTCTGGTTGTAGCATGTGTGTTGTAAAGATTTATGGCAGCACAGCATGTTTTTTTCCCACAATACTATAACCTAGTGGCACAGGTCACTAACCAGATTCTGCCACCTTTTCTAAGATGAACAGACAGAAATGGGGATGCAGTGATGTGGTGTGGGAGGGGGTCTTACAAAATAACTGACGAAAAGTCAGTCTAAACACAGAATAAACACAGACTGAACATCTGCTCCACCTGCAGTTTTCACTGAATTGTTGGTGGACAACCCCTTGACTTTCTGTGATGCACCATAAACACCTGAATGGTATTTAAATAAAAGCACTAGGAACAGTTAACTGAATAAAAAACAGGTCCAGTGTTAAAAGTGGGCATAAATAAAAAGAAATAAATATGATAAACACATAAGCATTAACATCAAGAAATAGACTTGAAGGTGGATCCAAGCACCAAAGAGTCAAGTCAAGTCAAGAGGCTTTTATTGTCATTTCATCTATGTACAAGTACACAGTGGAGTGAAATTACGTTCCTCCAGGAACAACACGGTGCAACAAGGAACAAAAAGTACAAAATTACAAAGTGCGAACGTGCAGACGGTGCGCAAACAAAAATTATGGTAGAAAAAAATACAATAAATACAATAAATTAAACAGACATTAGACACAGTAAACAGACCGGACAGTGTAGCACCGACACAGCACAGATTTCTGGACATGAGGTAGTGGAATAAGGTGCAGACATATTTAACGTGATGTGATCTGTAAGTTACGTCAGATAACATACATAAACACAGCAGTTACTGAGGTTTTAAAAAAATGACAATTACTGAGATAGTAAAACAGTGTAAACACAGTATTGGCAGCAATGTTCCAGATAGATGGAAGTCTGTAGTGCAAGTAGAGCATCAGAAGAGGTGTGTATGAGTGGTGGGGGGGGATTAGTTCAGTCCTTGTGAGTTTAAAAACCTGACTGCTTGAGGGACAAAGCTGTTGCAGAGTCTGACAGTGATGGCACAGATGCTCCGGTACCTTCTGCCAGGCGGCAGCAGTGAAAAAAGTCTGTGTGTGGGATGGATGGGGTCGTTCACGATGCTGGTGGCTTTGCGGATGCAGCGTGTGGTGTAGATGTCCATGATGGAGGGAAGAGAGACCCCGATGATCTTCTCAGCTGTCCTCACTATGCGCTGTAGGGTCTTGCGGTCGGAGGCGGTGCAATTCCCAAATCAGGCGATGATGCAGCTGCTCAGGATGCTCTCCACAGTCCCCCTGTAGAACATGGTGAGGATGGGAGGGGGGAGATGAACTTTCTTCAGTCTCCATAGGAAGTAGAGGCGCTGCTGGGCTCTCTTGGCTATGGAGTTGGTGTTGAGGGACCAGGTGAGGTTCTCTGTGATGTGGATGCCGAGGAACTTGGTGCTCTGGATGATTTCCACAGCGGAGCCAGTGATGGTCAGTGGGGCGTGGTCACCCCACACTCTTCGGAAGTCAACAACTATCTCCTTAGTTTTTTCTACATTCAGAGACAGGTTGTTGGTTCCGCACCAGTCTGTTAGCCGCTGCACCTCCTCTCTGTATGCTGACTCATCATTCTTGCTGATCAGACCCACCACAGTCGTGTCATCAGCAAACTTGATGATGTGATTTGAGCTGTACTTTGCAGCACAGTCATGAGTCAGCAGAGTAAACAGCAGCAGACTGAGCACACAGCACTGAGGGGCACCGGTGCTCAGTATGGTGGTGCTGGAGAAGTTATTACCTATCCTGACTACCTGAGGTCTCTTAGTCAGGAAATCCAGGACCCAGTTACAGAGGGAGGCGTTCAGGCCCAGCAGGCTCAGTTTTCCAACCAGCTGCTGAGTAACACAAACAGTCCGAGGCAACGAAGACAGAGACAAAATCCAAAAATCAGAAAAAAAGATAGACAAGCAGTAGGTCAATTAACATGAAAAACACCAAGAACAATAAATAATAAGGCTTAGAATTGCAAGGTATGATCTGGCAAGACTTCAAAGACCTTAGCTAAAATACAAGCTATAAATAGAGAGAGTAATGAGAAAACAAGCTTCAGGTGATAGTCTGACATTAAAATTCAGGAGAGTGACCTCTGCAGGCGGGGAGGGGAATCTCCAGCCAAGAATGTGACAAAGAACTTCCAGCATTTCTCATGTTCATCTTGAACATGGTACATACAGTGCTGTGAAAAAGTAATTGACCCTTATCTGGTTTCTTCTATTTCTACTACTTTGTCGCATTGAAATGTTTCAGATAATCCAACTCAGGAGTCCCAGATCTTTAGCAATAATTTGAACCCTTTTAAAAACACCATTTTGTGTTTACTTGATGATCTGAAACATTGTCACAAGTGTGACAAATATGCAAAATTAGAAGAGATTGGGAGGAGAGCAAATACTTTTTCGTGGCACTCTGCATTCATGGACATATACAGACAGACCTTAATTTCAGTAAATATGTTTCACATTTTACCCTCCATAACTCTAAATCTTTTGAAAGAGACTCATACATCTTCAATTTTTAGTTCCTGGTCATTTTTTGCCTTCAACCAACTTGTGGAGTCTGATATAACTTAACTTTTGATAACTTTATGTTGTATATTAATTAGTGATCACCTCTATTATTATTATTATTATTATTATTATTATTATTTAATCAATTACAACATTGTCTTGTCCATGTCTTGTGCTTGTTCTTTGAAGGTGCATGGCATCATTATACAATGAACCAAACTGGTCCACCAAACTGGAGACTGTGAAAGATAGCACCGTCCAAAGGCTTGCTGAAGGAAGTGTCAGCTGGTGGAAGATGGGTAAAAAACTGGCAAATTACTATTCAAACAACGACAACTTTAGCCTGACAGATGTGTGGGCAGCACTGATTGTGTCTAACATGGTGAAAGAGGTGAGAATAATTTATACTTCTAGTCATGTTATATAGAAATACACACAAATCATAGAAACATTTTAAAAAATAATCTAAAGTTTTCCTGCATTATTGACTGTGATGCGTGTATAATATTGATGTTTAGAAATACTGTTTCAAGTTTAATATGAATGAAACTATATACACTGTAAATAGTGGAACAGAGCAAAAGTTGATTGGAATTGGATTTGAGATTTACATTTACGTTGATCTTGTTTTATTGTTTTATTCTGAGTATCTAACCTGAATTAAAGTCATTAACCTGTGTTGTAAAATGAGGTAACACTGCATCTGTGTTTGTTTTTTTTTGTTCAAGCAACATGATTGTAATAACCTAGTAATAACTTAGAAGTTTTTAGCAGAGGCCTGTTAATGCTCATATGCACACTGTCATTAATGCATACAATATGAAATTAATGTTAAAATTTCAAAGATTTCTGTTCACTCAAATTGTTGTGCTTGTCATTTTATTCGTAATTAAAAATTTGCATCAAATTAGAAAAGAATGCAAAGTAAAAGCCTTTTCACTAGTGGTCTCAGATTTCTGGACGTTACTGTAGGAGTCTGTATTTTCTGTATTTTTCACAGATAGATGAACACAGACTCTCAGAGCAGAGGGGCAACTACACCAGTGACCCTTATCCCATTTACACTGTGATTGACAAGCAGTGTAAATATGATAGACTGAATGCAGGTAAATTTGTGTGTGCATATGTTTTATGTGCATCTATGTGTGTGTGTGTGTGTGTGTGTGTGTGTGTGTGTGTGTGTGTGTGTTTGGGTGGTAAAATGGAAAACTTTTCTGTTTGTAGATGTCTGGTTTGAGATCACTCCAGATGAGTCAGGTTATTCTCTCTCTGGAGCCTTTGTGGATTCTTCCTGTTTGGGAAGTCAGTTTGAGAATGGAAAGAAGATTAAAGACCAACCTGAGATTGACATGCTGTACCTACAAGGTAATATCACATTAAAAAGCAAAACAATTCAGTAACAAGGTAAATATACTCTGGATTAAAATACTATACTCCACATCCATGACATCCATCGTCATTTTAACTTCACAAAGCTTTGCATTGTTTCATAGATTGGTCAGTGCTTCATGTAGTTTAATATTTTTATGGTGTAAAAGTCCTGAACTCAATCAGAAAGTGGTGGGTCTTTGCCCCAGTATTTTAAAAACGTGGTGGATCAAATGCCCGCTCGCCCCCCATGGCTCCAGGAGCCCTGTTCAGAGACCTCAAGCCTGTCCACATTTTCCCAGTTTTTTCCTATGACGTTTACATAAGCCATATTTTATGTTTAATTTTTCCAATATGTTAAATTGTGTACAGTAACTGTGATTGAAAATAAGTATGCTCTTTAGAGATGATGTTTTAACTTATTTTCACTTAAAGAAACACAAAAAATGACATGTAATTTGACTAAGGATGCACAAACTGTTTGCATATGACTGTAGCTTGGTGGGTGAATCATCAAATATTCACTTGAGAACATCTGGACTATACTGAGGTCATGTAATGGGTGCTGCTAAGAGTATGTTGACTGGTCATGAATGTTCAAGGGAAACATTTTCAACACTTTTTCTCAGTGCTGTAATTTTACTGACTGTTTTTTATTTGTTTGGAATTTGTACAGGCCTGTGTGGCAGTGCCATCGCGGATATGGAAGAGATCATTAAGTACCTGTTTGAGGCACTAAAACAGTTGATGATAAGTATGAACCTCTTTTGGTTTAACAATGTTCTCATTTTTCCACCTTTACTGAGTGTAAATCTTTTAGTTAATGGGTACAAAATCAGGTTATGCTGTGCAAATTCTCGACAAAAACATTTTTCGCAACGTTTAACCACTGGACCACAGTGAACCACCCACTTATCATAAAATATGAGAGTTAAAAAGACAGTATGAGGTTTTACTGTTGATTTGGTAGCAGATATTTTGATGGATTTTGAAATTACTGATTAATAATTCTGTGTCACAGTCACTATAACTTCTGAATGATAGATAATGCATCAATTCTGATGTGATATTTTAAAAACAAAATTGTATTTGTAAATGTAACTGAATGATGAAGGTATTTTTAAGTTTAGTCTTTTAAAAGATTAGTAAATATTGGGCTTAAATTACCACACTTGAGTTTTACTTCATTGTAAAGAACTGATTCTCTTAGTTTAAATGATGTGTGTATTGTATTTGCAGTGCATCATAATCACACAAGTAGTTTCTTGTGTTCTGATCTGGCAAGAAAGGGGCAAAGTTAATGTCTCTATACTTCTTTCATAATTTTTCCTGACAAAATAGAAGGCACAGAAAAAAGTCAAACATCACCAGATGTGCAGAACGGTTGCCAGGTCCTCTTACAACTTGTGGAACTGAACCTTTGTGTGTTAAGAAAGGAGGATCCTACAGAATACCTCCAAACAATGAAGGACCTACTGAAAGGTAGTATTCACTAACATATCCCATAATCTAAAGAACACATGACAGTTCAACTACGCCAACATTAAATAGACTGTTTTGTAATAATATATTTTTTAGTATTAACTAACTTTTATCACTTGTTTGTGCCAGTAAATACATGCATATATAGTCAAATCCAGAATTTTTGGCACCTTTCATAAAAATGAATATATTAAATAAACGACACATGCAATGACTGAAATTTTGGGCTTCAACAAATGAGTAACCTTTTTTTTATTTATTTATTTATTTTCCAAAAATCTAAATTTAAAAAATATTGGCAACCCATTATTACTTTTTTTATTTTTGTGCAAAATGTGACCTAAGAATTTTTTTGTGTGTGTGCAGATTTACAATGTTCTGTCCCATTTGAGTTGACCGCTGTTTGTTTTTATCAATGTTGATGGATGTTCAAGAGATTTTGAAGGGGGTTTAAAGCACAGGGAAACAGGAAATGGTAACAGACAACAGTTCCTGGAAACTAGAAGCAATAAAAAGATGTTTTTCCACTAAAATTGTTTTGAATAAACATCGCTAAAATTAAACAACACTCTTGTAGGAAAGATTTCTGTTACATAAATCGTGCAGAATTTCTCTAAACATCTTTGAGAAACTTTTGAATCATTATATGTTTTGTTTATTTTATATGATTGTATTTGCCCGGTTTCTTGAGGGGTGCCAATAATTCTGTATATGTGTATATGTACTGAAGAAAATCTCTTTCATTAGATAGGCATGATGAAATAGAAAGGATGACTGTTCATCTAGAGAAGATGGTGATTTCAGAAAGGACGATCTCCAAGGAAGAGTTAAATGAATACACCCTGCAAGTATGCAGTTACATCACTGACATGTTCACGGTGCAGGATTTTTGGGATGGTGAGTAGAACCATTCTACTGAAGCATTTTTAAAACAATGCACCTCAGATTCTTCTGCTGATTTAATTATACTGAAATTAATTTTAGTATTAGTATTAATACTATAATACCAGTATTAATTTAGTAATTGATACTAAATCGTCTGCGTGTGCCTTTTCCTGAAATAGATTTATACATTTGATTGCATTTTATTTGTTGAATCTTTTCATTGACTTTACCAGTTATTGTAGTCTAATCACAGACTGTATTAGAAATCTGGAGTCAATCTATTTTTTTATTTTAATCTTATTTTGTCAGAAATTTGGATTGCCATTGTGAGATCCATAGAGAGGATTGTGGGCTGGATCTGGGGAACAACTTATGACTACCTCTACAGAATGACAGGTGGGAAATGAAGTATAATTAAATGTTAGGTGTGGGATAGATCACATGATTGCCTGCTTGATAAACAATTGGCTAAATTTTTCAGGCCATTTATTTAAGCTGCTACTGTCCGGTAGTTTGCCTGGCATGGTCATTTTGGTGGTCTTTCTATGAATATTACATAAGTAATAGGTCCTGCTTCTAGATTATTCAGGGTAAGTACACTACTTTAGTATATACAGTAGCCTGCTGCCTCAGAGAGTAGTAGTAACATGGCTACGCATAGTAGTTTGAGTTTAGCAAAGCTTGTGCAGCTGGCTCAGCAGGATAGCTATGCCTTCATGATGCCAAAGAAAGTAATTAAGGGTTTTATTTCATTTGAGTGTAAAATTGATATGTTTTGTAATCTGTTTGCATCTGTTTGCTGTCTGCTGGCTTGAAGTTGCCTGGTATGGTTGTTGTTTGGGTCTTACTGCTGTTCACCCTGCTTTAGGCTTTCCATGTATGTAAATGGAAGAGCAGAGAAATACCAAAACTGATCCATACTGCAAATAGAAACAAAGTATTTTCTTTTACGAAGTGGTCTTTACTGAAATTGAGCACAGCTTTAGTTCAGGCAGGCCACAAAATCAAGCTCAGGCCCCAATCACAAATCATGCTGAGCTATACACAACAGTGGAATGATGAGCACAACCCTGAGCTGAGTCAACCAACCAATGATAAGATAGTCTTATCATTTGGATATAGAATCAATACCCAGAAAATGGCTCTTTTATCACAGATGAGAATATTCTAGGTTGCCCAACTCATCACAGATTTCTTTCGAAAAACACAAGGAATTACATTAAGCTGAAAAATTAAAGAGTGAAATATGTGTACTTCAATATATTATAAAGTACTGTTTGACCTTGTTATCAGTGAAAGACATCGCCCCAAGTGTCCTTGACTCAGAGACGAGAGAATACGAAGACGCTGGAGCGTTAATCAACTCACCCTACTTCTCAGTGCTGAGACAAGAACGAAAGATCGACCTCATCATTTCCCTTGACTTCAGTGCAGGAAATCCCTTCGAGGTACTACATATATATACACACACACACACACACACACACACACACACACACTGTAAAAAAGTAGAAGCCAGGTAACTGCTGTTCTTGAGTTTAACTAATGGCAATAAAGTTCTCCCAACTTAAAATTATTAGAGTAGTCAAAAGTTCTCCTAACTCCTAATATTATTTAATTCTGCATCTCTGTTAGGTAAACAATATGAAATGCATGTTGTTTTTACTCAGTGTCCCCACTAGCCATGACTCTCTCCATCAAACAATCCCACCAGGCATTTTCTCCTCTTAGACTCCCAGTTATAGATGGCTATGGCATCATTTGGGGTTTAAACTCACAAGCTGCAGGAGCTCACAAACTCCTGAATTACTTTTGAATTAACTTTCAAAAGTATTGTGGCGCAATGAATTCACCACAACATCAGGAGATTGTGAGTTTGAATCCCAGCGATCCCACAGCTGTCCATATTGGGAGCCCAGGAAGAGAAAATGCTTGCTTTGGTTGTGTGATAAAAGTCCCAGCTAGTGGGAAACAGAGTAACAAACCAACTCTTTGTTGTTTGCTTGACTGAGAAACTAGAAATAAGAGTTAGGAGAACTTTTGACTAAACTAAGACGCTTTTTATACAGTACACAGAGAAAGTATCATTTTGCGTGATCTTATTCATATATGGTTGGGAATGTGATGTCATGAGGCAGTGTCTTATGGGTTAATCTGAGATGGTTCTGGAATAGTTTGCATAATGTTTCTTTTTGACATTCTTTCCTTGATTTTGGCTGATCTGCAGGTTACATGTAGAGATGTACTGATCCCAGTTTTTCTCTTACAATATTGATTCAGATACCTGAACTCTGGGTATCTGCCAGAGTACCAAACTGATATCAGTAAATTTTATTTCAATTCTGTATACCTCATGTGTCTAACACGAGGCTGCAACTAGAGCAAAAGAGTAATAAAAGTAAAAACTAATAAAAATGAAAAAACTTGACTGAAGTATTACAGAAAGCTTTGCTATTAATATAGAATTCTGGATAATGCACCAGCAAAATAAACCATAATTATAATTTCAGAGTAAACTTTCCAGTGCAACAATTAAGCTGCAAAATCTAAATGTTTAAAGACATCTAGATTGCATTGCAGCTGTTTTGAAAAATATGCAATATCTGGTTTGCCATCATCTGTCTACTGCA